CAGCAATCATAACACGTAAACCAGGCCTAAGAATTACTTGTTGACCAGCAGTCCTTTGGACAGTTTACTTCTCAAGTTGTATGCACCACTCTTGGGTGTGTACCCTGAATAGTGCTCTGTTACCCTGAAACCCAGGAACTTAGGCTAGTTAAAGGAAATGTATTTTGGCTAGCTTTCAAAAGCTATTCTAAGCAATTAGATCCAGGTTGTTTTCAGGGAAAACTACTCAACACAGGCAGGGAAGGAGCATGGTATGCGGGAGGGTGGGGAGAAATCATCTCTATTTCCACATATCCTATTTGCAAACTGTTTTAACACATTATCTGCAGAGTATGCAATGCATTATTAATCCCACCTTTGAAAGATTCCCTCCCCCCTCTTCCCTAAATATAATTATTTGCTTAACAGCTCATATAAAACTGCACTTTAGCATGCTATTGACTAGCGTAATCAGTCCAGACAGCTATGTCAGATGCAATAAAGGTTTACTATCCAAGTCTAATAAACGAAACAGTGTTATGTGCTGTCCATGAAAAAGATATAATGAGATCTAATATAAGAACTGTGCAAGTTGCTTTCCATCTCTGCAAAGTACATTTCATGTCCTTAGTGCTGAAAATCAAAGTTTCAGGAATTGTAGCAACTTATGGGCCAACAATGGCATGCCGGTCAGAGGTTCCCCACATCTGGAGTATGGCGTACAGGACTGTAACGGCTGGGGAGGATGACAGAAAATGGGGTTGGTTGCCTTGCAGAAATGGAAGTGCTTTCTACTATCACAGCGTGCAGTTCATGGATACATTTGTGTGGCTGATCGTGCCTGCTTTGGTCACCATCGCTGACAGATTCTTGCCCCTGGAGAATTTGTCAAGAGGAAATGCAGCTCTATGGTTGAAACAGCTATTGGGCTTGATGGGAGAAAATAAGTTGTTCCCCAGCCTCATTGTGCATTTTCCTGACCTGGGGTAGAGGATTAGCCCTTCCCTCTCCAATTATGACCTCTCTGCCCAGAAATTCCCCTGTGAACCACAATTAGGTATGAAAATAGCCTTTTATCAGAGCTCAAGAGCTTTTTGATGATTAAGTGGCATATTCATATTATTAAATAAAATAAATAAAAAAATTTTTTGTCTCCAAAGCCCTGCCTCGTATCAAGGAAATACAGCAATACTGCAACTTTATCGCAGGAGGCAAAAACTATCACAGCAAAATGGTTCCAGTTCAAACAGAACAGATTGTCTAATTCCTAGCAGTCTTAGTGCCGTCATGTCTAAAAATACACACTTCGTGCTCCATTTTTTAATTAATGCATTTGATCCACCAGTCTTTCAAATGATTTTATTCCCATTTAGGTCATGCTGTGAACGATGGAGAATGTGACATGAACTGAGTACGAGTTACAGAATTTGTGTAGGAGGGGTAGGAATCTTCGTTTCGCCCACACACAAAGAACGCATAACCAAATTTGTGAAAAGAAAGCTACTGTCTCCAATTTAATGTTCAAGCTGTTGGGTGGCAAGTCATAAAAGCCAGCTACTGTAAGTAATATGCAAGCAACAGGAGATGTTTGAACCACTGGATCTACTTCAAAGGCGAGGGAAGGAGCCAAAGAAAGCATAATTAGTTTTTCATACAAACTGCTTGCGAATTTTAAATGATGGAATGGGTCAGGAAAGGGAGAGCTAGCGTTCAAAACAAAACATCCAAGCCCTCTTGCACATCCAGCCAAGAATACTATACTAGCTCTCTGGGTTCTAGCCAGACTTTATAACTCCAGTTTCAAGGTTAAGGTCACATTGTCCAAGGTTACTGCTTTGTCAACCTCTTCGGCACCGGCACAGAAATCCCTTGAACAAGGGGCTAGCAAACCTGTTCAGTACAGTGACACTGAAGGCCTGCCAAAAGGTCATGACCAACTTGCAGATAATGTCCATAACTGACTCGCTCCACAAATCATTAACAAATACACCAGAGGCCATTTTGTACCTATTGCACAATGTCACACTATCAGGGTCTCTTCTGCTCAAATAGAGAAAGGTTTCCCTCCGCCTTGGAAAGTACATTGCTACCCATATTAAGAGTTGGGAAACATTTCATCAGTCTTGTTAATACTGCTGACCAGCTCATCTTCACTGTCACTCCTTCAGTCTTCTGGTATAGGGATGGAAACCGCAGGCTCAGGGCCCAAAGGCAGCCCTCTAGACTAGAAATGGATGAATCTCTACAATTCTGCAGAAACCTCTGACTTTTGCATGGGTGGAAGGTAGCCCACTGTACAAAAGTTAAGAGTTGCATCAGCCGCTCAACCCTTTCCTCCAGCCCACTACCACCACCACTGGTTGACCTGATGGAATCTAGCTCTCAGACTGAAAACACCTGCCCATCAAGCTGTCATCAGCCAGTTAAATGAAGCCTGTGGTTGCCAGTCCTAAGAGGTCTCAGAACCCAATAGTATCACAATAGTGGAAGCAGGTGGACTTAGGGGTCAGGCTATGCCGTGGTAGTTGTTACTGATGCCATGAGGCTATTTGCTTCTGTGAGATCCTGGGATAAAGCAGCCTCAGTGGCTTCCGGCTTATGGACAAACGAGAGAAGACACAGAAGTCCCACTGATATTTCTGCAGATCCCTGGGTATAGCAGCCTAGCAGAAGCAGTTTCTCCTCATCCTTACTGCCATAGGAATACAGAAGGATAGAGCGAACACAGCTGCCACAAGCTTCAAAACCCCAGCAGCAGCATTTCACAGTGTCTTTATTATATGGAGAAAAGGCAGACCCATGGAACAAGTGGGCTTGCTTCCCTTGACCCAACAGTGCATGTGTGCATTGCGCAACAGTGCATGGTGTGTTAACTTAGCTACCAGAACCACCTTCCCATAAAACATTTCCTGAGTGGGAGAGAATGTTGCACGTGATTCTAAGCAGCTACTTTACTCGGATGTAGAAAACTTCGTCTGGCTCTCCACTCAGAACATGAAGATGCATACATCCAAACAAGACAAGTCCCTTGTAGCACTTTTATATATATATATATATTTAATGCATGCACGTAAAAGCTCATTTTAGTGCAGTGTTCATGCCATTTCATTTACTGTACCTGAATATAACAAACTGCCATGCTGCATGTTAATAAAAAAAAGATACAAGACAAAAAAAAGTTAGCTTTAGAAAAATTCTGAAGAACAACCTGTGATACATTTTATACACAATACCACTCAATTAAAACATGTAAAAGGGCTAATTAAGTGTGCATACTAGCTGTGGCTCCCAGTGGCAATCCCTCCTTCCCTAAACTGCCACTACAGGAGTTTCTGAAGAACCATTTTGCTATGAAGGAAACAGAGAAGCAAAAGAACGTCCTCCTTTTGTCTTTTCTGCCTTACTGTATCACGTCTGAGGTTTACTGATCTTCTGTAAACTGCTTTGTGAGGCCCACCAAATGGTACGTGAATTCATAAGACAAATGCACAGGAGGTTTTGCATTTTCAGTTTTTATAAGGGAATTGTGTAATTGAGGTCAGATGGTTGTACTTCAGGCCTTTTAAAGTTGGGTGCCGTATGTCTGAAACTCTCAGAACTATGTGTGGGCACAATCTAAAGGTAAAGGTACCCCTGCCCGTACGGGCCAGTCTTGCCAGACTCGGGTTGTGCGCTCATCTCACTCTATAGGCCGGGAGCCAGCGCTGTCCGCAGACACTTCCGGGTCACGTGGCTAGCGTGACAAGCTGCATCTGGCGAGCCAGCGCAGCACACGGAACGCTGTTTACCTTCCCGCTGGTAAGCGGTCCCTATTTATCTACTTGCACCCGAGGGTGCTTTCGAACTGCTAGGTTGGCAGGCGCTGGGACCGAGCAACGGGAGCACGCCCCACCGCGGGGATTCGAACCGCCGACCATGCGATCGGCAAGTCCTAGGCGCTGAGGCTTTTACCCACAGCGCCACCCGCGTCCCTGGGCACAATCTACGTAGCCACAATTAAATCATTTCTGTCCTGCTGATTTTGAAGCACAGCCTGAACTCTTTGCCCGCATGTCACTGGGACAAAGAAAGGTTCACCATTACTGAATTTCACCTTATACATGAAATTCATTTTATGACTGGACTGTGTCTCCTTTAAATGCATACCTCCTTCTTTTTTTTTTTTTTTTTTTGGACACCAAAGCTAATATTTTTCTTTCCTAGGCTATTAATGTTAAAAACTTTAAAAGGCCCGTGCAAATATTGGTATTGCTGAATTTGTTGTTTTATATAGTTGGTTTACATTCTTTTATCATTCATGGTTTTTCTATTATGGCACAAGCTGTCTTGAGAATTATATCTTGAAAGGGAGGGCCAAAATGTCTTTTAAAAAAATAAAACTACTCCTTGGGTAGCCCAATCGCCTTCTAAATCCAGCCCACAGACAGTCCAGGAATCAGAGTGTTTTTACATGAGTAGAATGTGTCCTTTTATTTAAAATGCATCTCTGGGTTATTTGTGAGGCATAGGAATTCATTTGTTCCCCCCCCCCACAAAAAAAATATATAGTCCAGCCCACCACATGGTCTGAGGTACGGTGGACCAGCCCCCTGCTGAAAAAAATTGCTGACCTCTGTACTCCTATGCATGTTAACTTGGAAGCATGTCTCATTAAGTTCAGTGGGTTTACTTCCTAGTAAGTATGGTTTGGATGCAGACCTAAGAAGTCCTCAAGTATAAGAATCTGACCTAAATTTTAAAATTCCTTTTTAAAAGCTGAAAATGAAAAAAAACTCCTGTTCAAGTATTGGTTCCTTTATAAACAATACACTACAGAGCCTGCAAAAACAAATAGAAGAAAAAGTTCATCTCAGAACAGCACTTGCCTGTCTCCTTCCCTTACATATTTGTTTATAGAAACCAAAAATATTTTTTTCCTGTGCTAAACAGCATTTTCAAAATACTAGAACAGTAAAATGGCATTTCAAAATAAGCTTACAGAGCGCCTAGATGACAACACACAAACACACAAGGGTACTTACGCCGTTTCTGGGAAACTGCTTGCAAACAGGCTGTTACAATATCACAGTTCTTCTGCACTTTGTGCAAAAGCCTGTCCTTTTGTTTCAGAAGGCGAAGCAATTTTGCTGACTGAACACAAATTCTGTAATTCAGCTCGCGTATTATGGTTGTCAACTCATTGGTATCTGTCAACAAACAGAGAATAGAATTAGCCTGCTGAGTGAAACCTGTGACTTGAGAACACATTTTTCCCTATGGAAAGCACCAGGGGTTTCGCCCCTAAAGGTTCTTATCCTGTAAACTGGGGGTGGAAAGTCAGTGGCCCTTTTTGGATTCAAATTCTCATCAGCCTCAGCCTGTGCGCCCAATTATCAGGGAAGATGGCTGCTGGAGTCCAGCAATAACAGGAGGCGTGAAAATTCCCTCACCACTGCTATAAATGTATATTCTTGGGGAAATTCCCTGCCACACTCAAAGAGTTCATGTTGTGTTACACCTTAAGAAGTTTACAGTAAATGATGGATAACAAGTTATTTATTATTAGGTCAATACTTTGCTCAAGACTTCTCCCAAGGTAATATATATAGAAGTAAATCCACAAATTAGAGCAATAGAAATCAGTAAAATAATGGAATTATTATGAAACAATAATCACAACCGCTTGAGAATTTTGTCTGCAGTTTTATATACCCATGAACCTGAGGACATGTTTTCCAAATTGTTACCATTATTTTACTAAATTGTTCAGGCTCCTTAGTATACTATAAGTATCTCCTTTAGAAGGATTTAGCTATTGGCAACATTTGACTGAAGTAAGCCAGTTTGGTGTAGCAGTTACAGTGTTAATTAAGACCTGGGAGACCAAAATTCAAATCCCCACTCAGCCATGAAGCTCACCTTGGGACAGTCATTCACTCTCAGTCTAAACTACCTCACAGGGTTGTTGTGAGTATAAAATTGGGAGGAAGAAGAACCATGTAAATCACACTGAGCTCCTTAGGGGAAAGATGGGCTATAAATGTAATACATACATGCATATTTCATTTCCTATTCTTTCCCCATGGCAAATTCATTTGGCATCATAAGGACTTTGTAAAAAGCCCATACTGTATTTTTCATTAGCTGCAAATATTTAACATATATGGTTTGCTGGTAACTTAGCTTCTTAGATTGTTTAGAGATCTTTGAACATAAATTCACCTGCAAAGAAAATTGTAATCTTTAAAACAGCAATTTTATTTACATAGCATGCACCCTCTAGTGGGCAAAAGGAGGTAAAAGAAATCAGCATTTAAGTTAACAGCTGCTTGCCTTTCGTGAAATTAGCTAAAACAAATAAAGAAGGTTATATCTGTAATCAGTAACAGTGGACAACCCTTAACCCCTTGAGAAAGAACGCAGCAGAGAAAAGGGAGAACGGCATTCAACAGGGGTGTTATCTGCATGCAGAACGTAGGAACTGTATTGTGATGTTAACAGACATTGTATTATGGATCTCAGTGAAATGGCCCTTTAAAAATTCAGTACTGGGATAACTTTCAATGTAATGACAGGGGACTTATTAAAAAGAGTACTTATCCTACACAACTGGTGCTGATGGCCAGAGAAAGAAAACCAGAGGTAGAATTTCAGGTGCTATGGGGAAACTTGATTGAAAACACCCACTGAGAGAATGATCATAATATTTATATAGTGCTTTTTCAGTGTTCAAAGTGTTTCACACAAGCTGTCTAGTTGTAAACTCAATGAGCCTATAAGGTAGGTCACCATTATGCTGCCCATATTGTAAATACAGCAAGCTGAGAGCACAAAGCCACCGAATAGTAGAATCCCACGCAGGACAAGAAAATAAATATGATTTTGGGAAGCTACTGTCCATAATAAAGCTATTAACAGATCAGAGTAGGCAATACTAGGCTAGAGTGACATATGATCTTACTCAGAGGCAGCGTCATATCAGCATATGAGGCAGATTGTGTCTCTACCCAACCCAGTACTGTCCACTCTGACTGGCAGCATCTCTCCAAGGCAATCCTGGTCTCCTGGCCTTGCTGCACAGGTATCTTTTAAAAGGCCACATTTTCAGCTTGGACCACTACTATTGAAAGAGTAAAAAGGTAAAGGTAAAGGGACCCCTGACCATTAGGTCCAGTCGTGACCGACTCTGGGGTTGCGGTGCTCATCTCACTTTATTGGCCGAGGGAGCCGGCGTACAGCTTCCGGGTCATGTGGCCATCATGACTAAGCCGCTTCTGGCGAACCAGAACAGCGCACGGAAACGCCGTTTACCTTCCTGCCAGAGCGGTACCTATTTATCTACTTGCACTTTGACATGCTTTCGAACTGCTAGGTTGGCAGGAGCAGGGACTCAGCAACGGGAGCTCACCCCGTCGCAGGGATTCGAACCGCTGACCTTCTGATCGGCAAGCCCTAGGCTCTGTGGTTTAACCCACAGCGCCACCCGTGTCCCTTGTTGAAAGAATAGCCTTCTTTAAAAAATTGTATGGCTCTCACAGCAATTGAATTTGTAACCTTGGCATTATTAACACCACATGGTTATAACTATCTGAGCCAATGAGCAAACGAGCCAGGTTCAGATGTCCCATGGAGACTGTTGGGGGCTCCCAAGCCTTAAATTAGGAATCCTAGTGCAAAGGCCCAAGACAGGCTTGAGCCCTTCTCTCAATCCCTCCCCTCAGAGTGATGGAACGGCCCAACAGAAGCTATGGCTAACTGTCCAAAAACAGTTAGTGCTTCAGGACCAAAGGAAAAGAGATGGTACATCATAACATCTTACTCAGAACCTAGCCGAATTAGGAAACAATTATGAAAACCATATTGGCCTGTTTAATTGCTGTTGCAGAGGAAACAGGTGTTACCCCTTCCTAGAACTATCTCCTTTAGAGTATTAAAAAGGTAAATGGACCCCTGACCATTAGGTCCAGTCTGCTGCACTACCGATCCTTACACAAAGCAGAGTTTGCTCTCAAAGTATGGCTTGTTGGGTCACCTTGATTGTTAAAGGTAAAGGGACCCCTGACCATTAGGTCTGGTCGTGGCCGGCTCTGGGGTTGTGGTGCTCATCTCGCTTAATTGGCCGAGGGAGCCGGCATACAGCTTCTGGGTGATGTGGCCAGCATAACTAAGCCACTTCTGGCGGACCAGAGCAGTGCACGGAAACGGTGTTTACCTTCCCACCGGAGCAGTACCTATTTACCTACTTGCACTTTGACATAGCTTTCGAACTTCTAGGTTGGCAGGAGCAGGGACCGAGCAACGGGAGCTCACCATGTCGCGGGGATTCGAACTGCCGACCTTCTGATCAGCAAGTCCTAGGCTCTGTGGTTTAACCCACAGCGCCACCCACATCCCTTTTTTTAGAGTATTAGGTCAGCATAAATTTGTATTAGCAATCTCTGTAAACTGTTTTAGCGTATTAGCTTCTCTAGCTGAACAAAAGCGCCAAGTTTGTTGCTGATTACGTATAGATCTACTTTGCCCTGCTGAAAAACAGAAGCTGGGAATCTTCCTTAGGGAGCTTATGTGGGAATATAAGAGGTATAAACAGAGAAGGTGAGGGTATGAGATGACAGAGAAACAGAGACATATGTAACCTGTTGAGGTAAGAAAAAATGTGATGATATACACCTAGTATTAACATCAAACACCTAAGATGAACACAAAGAGCTATAAAAGTTTCAGTTTAACAACCCATGCCAAAATTGCAAGCAAGGATGTCATAGCCATTTACAGTCAAGGCGTAAGATCATCCCTGCTGGTAAATATTTACTTAACATCAGTATTCAGGACATTAAGAAAAGCAATTGATAGGTTGATTCCTCCCTGTTCTTTTTTGACTAAGACTTCCCTTATTTTGCTTTCTTCATCATCCATGGCTATTCTGTGGTCATCCTTGATTGAATGTACAGTAGCTAAAGTGGCTGCAGCGCAAATTTAGGTCCCAGTTTTAGTATACAACAACAGCATAACTTCAGCAAGACTTGGAAAAGGCAGCAGGAAACATGAGCTGGGAGTATCCTTTTCCGCTAACAATCTGTCATAAACCTGCATGGAAGGTAAGTTTGTGAAATGTGCACCCACTAGTGTTGTTTTTAGGGGAAAGCAAACATGAAAAAGGGCTCCAAAAGAATGATGAGTAGGGAAAAGAAGAAAGAAGATTGTTTGCTTAGCTGAAAGTAAACAGGATTTTAAAAATTGGGCCATGGAAGCAGTTCTGAGACACAGTCTGAAAAATCCTAAGGACAAATAGGAAGAGAGGGAAGTCTTGAGCAGCAAAGTTGAAGAAGAGGGATGGGGATGAATGCAACAGGTGCACACTCAGAGCCCAGTATATCTTAATCAAGGCTTTTTTTCAGCTGGAGCTGACAGGAGCTCCGGCACCTTTCAGGTGGGCGCCACTGCCATTCCAAGAGAACAAGGGAGAAGATCGTGCTGAGCACCTGCACCTCTTTTTCTAGAAAAATGGCACTGCTTGGAATATATGAGTAACAAAGTCATCCTGCAAGGACAACTTTGCCAACTCTTTTCACTTTCCTGGCAGTGAAATAAACAGAAATAAATACAAATAAAAAGAAAGCCGACCGGTGCATTGCAGCATTCCCCGCCCGCACCACGGAGATGCAGAGCAGGACATCTTCACCTGCTGACTTTCTGCCTGCCAGGAGGAAGAAGCAGGAAACTCCTTCTCCGGCGGTGGGAACCTCCCCCCCCCCCAGGGCAGGGTCCATCCTTGCCCGACCCTTTTACCTTTCTGCGCCAGGTACGTCCTCTGGTGCCGCTGGCTGGGCCTTCGCCGCAGCTCCTGCAGGAAGCGGGACTCGGCGCTGCTGCCCCTGCCGCCGGGGAAGGCGTCGGAGCCGGCGGACGCCTCGGTGGAGCTGTCCACGCTGTCGCGATGGCGGGCGCGCCCCACGCTGTACAGCTCGGTCAGGAGGCCGTTCACCAGCGACGAGGCGCGGCTGCGCGACAGCGCCTCCTCGCTTGCCTCCCCTTCTTCTTCCTCCTCCTCCTCCGCCGGGCTGTCCGCGCTGCTGCACACCCTGGCCCGGCCCGGTTGCTCCCCGGGGTCGCCCAGGTCCACCTCGGCGAGCTCCATTCCCTCGCCCAGGCAGGAGCAGCCTCGCTGCGCTGGCTCGCGCCTCTGCCAGGCGACTGAGGGTGGCGCGCGCCCTGTGGCAAATCCCAGGGCCAGAGTTCCGGGTCTGGCCCATTGTCCTCGAGGCGAGGGGGGTGGAGGGAAGAGGAGGGGAAAAAGACACTCTCTTTTGCAAAGGAGGCTTTGCGCAGGTCACATTCGTCGGTGTCCCCTGGAGAATGGAACGCGCCGTCCTGTTGCGCGCTGCGGGTCTGTGGCTTCCAAGCTCCTCCGCGCGGTGCACCTGCCGCCCGCCGCCAGCCAATGGGGTCTCCCCAAGTCACCGCTCTGGCGCGAACTTCCCAGAGAAAGAAATGGCTTACGGAGGAAGTGGTCGTCGAGTTTGGTTTTGTCAGTTTAGGGTTCCAGTCCGTTTTTGTGGTTGTGTTTCTTGTTGGGTCGCCAGTGTTGGCATCCCAGCATTCAGGGTCAAAATCCTACCAAGGTGGCTGAAAGTCAGGTTCAAGCACGTGTTTTGAAATCGCAATAAAGGTTATTTATATATGCCACTACTGTACACTGCGGCCCCTGTTTTCTTAGCCCAAAAATGGAAATCGAGCAAAGAATGGCAACTTAAGCAGGTGGAATATGCACAGCTTCCAGACTGCAGACTTAACACAGAATAAGAGAATGAGAACATACGTTTAGAGAAGGTAAGGTAAAGGGTAAAGGGACCCCTGACCATTATGTCCAGTCGTGGCCGACTCTGGGGTTGTGGCACTCATCTTGCTTTATTGGCCAAGGGAGCCGGCATACAGCTTCTGGGTCATGTGGCCAGCATAACTAAGCTGCTTCTGGCGAACCAGAGCAGCACACAGAAACACTGTTTACCTTCCCGCTGGAGAGGTACCTATTTATCTACTTGCACTGGCATGCTTTCGAACTGCTTGGTTGACAGGAGCAGGGACCAAGCAACAGGAGCTCACCCCGTCGCGGGGATTCGAACCACCAACCTTCTGATTAGCAAGCCCTAGGATCTGTGGTTTTAACCCACAGCACCACCCGCATCCCTTAAAGAAGATAGGAAAACGTTTATTGAATATATGGGGGAAATTGTGTACATCTGAAAACGTTGGCAACATTAAGATAAATTCAACAGTGTAAATAAGTTTTGGTGGATGTAATAATGGAATACTGAATGGTTTAGTTTATGTAAAATATGCAGGCATTTATGTTATGCAAAATGAACCATGGAAAGAGGAGAAGGGGAGTCGTTGATATTTTAAGGTTGTTTAAATGAATATTCTAAAATGTGAAACAGAAAATTTAATAAAAATTATAGGAAAGAAAGTGCAATAAAGAGTTTGGACTGACTAGGAAAGCATCCGTCCGGATCCTTCCCACAAGATACAGGTGATGACAGGTGGTCGCAGGGAGGTGAGGGGTCCACCTGCAACACAGCTGGAGGTCGTCGTTGCCTGCCTCCATCTTTCTTCTGGAATTTAGAGCAATGCATAGGAGCCAAATCCAAGGAGCCGAAGTCCCACCCAATAAAATATTTGAGAGGGCTGGGCTCCCCCCCTCCAAGTTTTTGGGCATTGCCATTCAAAGTCTGCGTGTGTGCCTTGTGATCAATTATTTGGGATGGGGCTTACCTGACCGCCCCCATATTTTATTCAAGTTGGCATCCCTGGAAATATTAGCAAATTAGTACAGCAAAACCCAGGATGATTGTATTACTGCTCCTTCCTGCTGGTATGAATGGTCATGGTGTTTGTCTCATAGAACTGTCTCAGTTAAAAAGTTAAAAGCTGTCCCATCAAAACAGGATCAGAAAACAGCAGTGGCAAAATTGCCAAAAGTGTGTGTGTGAGAGGCTGCAATCCTAACTCCACTTCCTTGAGAACCCCGTTGAATTGAATAGGACTTAGTTCTGAGTAAATATGGTTAGACTTCTGCTATCACTGTTTATTATTAGTATGCTAACTGACAATAATAGTTCATGTATCTGATGAGTAAGGCTGTCATTCTCAAAAGTTAACAGTGATGCTGAAGTTTCACAAGCACAGCTCCTCCATCACAATGCTGTACTGATTTATTTATTTTTAAGTTATGCCTGGTGAATATTGTCCTGTTCCCAAAGAATCTTAACTGTGTTTCTTTTGGGAGTATGGGCCAGTTATTAAGGCAGATTTCTGCTAAAATGTCCTGCCATCCTTAATTCACATGTGACACTGAAGTTATCTCTTTTGACCTCAGTTCCGTCATCATAGGAGTATTAATAGCCTTCCTTGCCAAGCTGGATGACATACTAATCACTAATAAACATAGGGAGAGCCCTGCTGGATTAGACAAATGTTTCACCTTGTCCAGGCTAACCAGTTCCTCTGGGATCCCACAAACAGGACCTGAAGGCAACAGCTCTGTTGCTCAGTGCTATCTCTGAACCTGAAGATTCAGTCATGAGTAAAAGCTATTGGTTACTTATATGCTATCTAATATAGATTTGTATTGTATTGATTACCTTATTCTCCATGGATTTGGCGAATACCATTTTAAGTTGGTGGCTATTGGCTTGCCTTGTAGCAACAAATTCCATAAATTATGTACTGTGTTAAAAAGTCTCTCCTTTTTTTTATCCTGAATCCTCCAATACTGTTTTATTGGGTGGCCCCAAGTTCTGGCATAATAGCAGTGGAGGTGAGCCTTTGACCCAAATTAGACCCATCAAGCCGGTACACTTGGTCTGCGGCATGATTTGGTTCAAACTATGTCCATGTGACCATCATATGACTGCAGCTTGAACTGCAGCATCAAGTTGAAAAGGAAGAACTAAGATCATGTTCTAGGTGTGCTCTTGAGTCTTCCTTTGCAGCCTCTGGCAGAATCCAGTGCTTTTTGAATCGACACCTTTTCTGTTGCCACATTCAGAAAGTGCTGAGTTGCAACTGGAAAGGGAGAATCAGGAGCACGCTAGGTGTAATGCTGAAGTGTCAAAGTGCCCCATGGAGAACAGTCCAGTTCTGTATTCAGCCTTTTGGCTGGATCTACAGTAGTTTCCGACCCTTGTATTAAAGGGAGAGAAAAATTAGTTCCACCCACTTTCTCCACACAGGTCATAATTTGATAATCCTCTCCTGTGTCACCCCTTCCGGTATGCGTGGCACAATTATTTTGAAGCAAGTCCTACCATATCCAAAGTAAGCAATGTCTAGAGCTCCCTCCCTAGAAAATGTGTTTAGGATAACAGCCTGTCTCACCTTGGCAGCCTCCCAAATCTTATTTTGGTGCTGACTCTTCAGGCAGCAGAGGGCGCCTCAACATCTTCAGACAACTTCACTTCAACCACAGCCAGCACTGCACATTTTAAGGATTGCTTGGGCAATGTCAAGATCAGAAGCTGAGCACAATAAATTAAGTGTTGGCTAAGCTTTCTGACTGTCAGAGATAATTGTGCTGTTTACGTGTGACAAAATGGCTGCCCTAAATGCACCAAATGAGCAGAAACACTGCAGGCAGCTGTTCGCAGTGTTTACCTTTTTGAACCATTCCTGTCTTTTTCATTTAGCCTTATTCTAGTAAGCCGTGCACAGTGCCGCTTTCAAAGTGTTGTTTCGGGCCTATCTCTCAATGCTAGCAGTATCAATTAATGACCAACAGCCAACCCTGTCTACTCAGAAGCAACCTCCAAAGCCCCGCTTAAGTAAGTAGCGCTTATTTCTGTGTAGTCATCCATAGGATTGCACTGTTGGAAATCAGCAATGATGCTTTTGTAGTCACAGGGGGGGTGGGGGAACATATTTTTTAATCTTCACATAGGTAAAGGTAAAGGGACCCCTGACCATTAAGTCCAGTCGTGGCCGACTCTGGGGTTGCGGTGCTCATCTCGCTTTATTGGTCGAGGGAGCCGGTGTACAGCTTAAGGGTCATGTGGCCATCACGACTAAGCCGCTTCTGGCGAACCAGAGCAGCGCACGGAAACGCTGTTTACATTCCCACCGGAGCAGTACCTATTTATCTACTTGCACTGTGACGTGCTTTCGAACTGCTAGGTTGGCAGGAGCAGGGACTGAGCAACGGGAGCTCACCCCGTCACGGGGATTTGAACCACCAACCTTCTGATCAGCAAGTCCTAGGCTCTGTGGTTTAACCCACAGCACCTCCCGCGTCCCAATCTTCACATAAAGGTAAAGGTACCCCTGCCCGTACGGGCCAGTCTTGACAGACTCTAGGGTTGTGCACTCATCTCACTCTAGAGGCCGGGAGCCAGCGCTGTCCGCAGACACTTCCGGGTCACGTGGCCAGCGTGACGAAGCTACTCTGGCGAGCCAGCGCAGCACACGGAACGCCGTTTACCTTCCCGCTGGTAAGCGGTCCCTATTTATCTACTTGCACCCGGAGGTGCTTTCGAACTGCTAGGTTGGCAGGCGCTGGGACCGAACGACAGGAACGCACCCTGCCGCGGGGATTCGAACCGCCGACCATGCGATCGGCAAGTCCTAGGCGCTGAGGTTTTACCCACAGCGCCACCCGCGTCCCTATCTTCACATAGCTGCCATTTATCTAGCTCTGTTTACTGTATATATAGAAAGAAGGTATCTGAAGAAGTGTGCGAAAGCTCATACCAATAACTAACTTAGTTGGTCTCTAAGGTGCTACTGGAAGGATTTTTATTTTATTTTATTTAGTATATTTTATATAAAAAGAGAGACTTTTGCTTCCAGCGTTGCAAGGGGTCCCTTAACAGCTCTGCCATTCTGCGACTCAAGCTCGGCGGCCAAGAGGCGGGAGCAGCAAATGGCCAGTGGGCGGGGCTTGCGGCCTGTCGTCACCGCCGGCGCCGCAGGAGGCCTCCGGGTCACGTGGCCGGGGCTCCTTTCGCTTCCATCGGCCTCTTCTCGGCGTACTTAAAAAAGGGGGCGGGGAGAATGGAACGGGGAAGCGCGCGCGCCTCTCTCTCGTGACAGTCCAGCCCGGCTCGCCTCTCCCCCTCCGCGCTCCAGCTCCGCTGCAAGGATGGCGCGCGCCGCCGCTGCTGCTTCTGCCTGGACTCTCCGTTTCCTGCTTTTGTCGTCGGCCCTCGCTTTGGCCTCCGCCCGGGCGCGGAAGCCCAATGTGGTGCTGATCCTGACCGACGACCAGGACACCTATCTGGGCGGAATGGTAACGCCGCGCCTCCCTTGGGAAGTGGTGGGCGGAGGCGGAGGGGGGTGTTTGTGGATTGGGGGCCTGCGCA